GTGTGTGTGTGTGTGTGTGTGTGTGTGCGCGCGCGTGTGTGTGCGTGATGATCCGTCTCTTCTTCCCATATATATATTGAAAGGGCTTTTAAAAAGTAGGGCGTGAGATTCTGACCCAATGTCTCTCCATCCTCTTTCTCTTGCAAAATGAGGCCTCCAGCCTCCACTGGGCTAAAGCTTAAGTGTAAAGGTGCTGTCTGTGACTCTCCCTATGGATTCGGTCTCTTTACGATGCCGTGACTGTAGAGAGCAGCTTATTGCCAGGGCTTCCTTACTCCCAGCATTGTGGACTACAGCTTTACTCCTGGCATTTTAAGTAAAATATGTACCTTAGGTGCAGATATTTATTTCCTTCAGTAAACTAGGTTGTCTGCTACAGAGAATGTCAGGCCTGTGACTTTGAACCATCCGAGGCTTGAGTGGGTTGCATCGTTGCGGAGAGCTGGTTTGCAAAGGCGCCTGGAATCTATTATCCCATAAGATGAAGGGGAAGTCCAGCCGAAGCTTGGGGTTTGTCTGGAAATGCAGACTTGATGAGGCAATGCCTTTCAGCCAAAGACATTATGTTGGTTTGATTAACCGAGGGAAAAGCTGGATGTGCAGTCATCACACCGAAATTCTTGCACAACCAAGCAGAACTGTGGCAGAGAAGGCAGAGATCAAGCTCTACTCAGACCTTTCTACACTGCTCCTGGCTAAGTAACCCTTCAGATTCTGTCTTTGGGGGCACTGGAGTGTTTAGCTGTGATTAGAGGACACAAAACGCCAAGGCATCGTGGAATGGGAGCCATACTTTTACAGAGATGTTTACCCTCTGTGTTTTTATTGGGTGGGGGCAGGGAGCCACTGCCCAAGCTGACGTTAAAAGCAGTTACTTTGTGTTCCCAGGAGATCAGATCTTCCTCCTCAAGGTGTCAGACCCATTTTCTGCTGAAGTGGAGATAAGTAGATATGGTTCTTTCTGATGAGCTGAGGAATCAGAGTTCAGGTGTTCAATGAATTCAGACATGAGGGCAAAAGTAACCACACAGGAACTAATTTGTGGGGCTGTTTTCTCCGCCAGGCCTCTGTAGACTCGAGAAAATGTTGGGAACCTAGAACAAAACAGTAAGTTACTGGCTCCAAAATGAAAGATAATGAGAAAGCATTGTGTAGTGGCTGAAACTAGTCATCTGCAATTCAACTCAACTTTCCCTGTGCATTTAAATTATATTTGATGTGTGGTATAAGTGCATTTAACAGGTTTTGCTATACTACTGACGACCCGCCTCAACTGTGCCTGGCGCCTACAAGGACCTGCCAGTAATTGGCCAGACTATCTTTGTAATGAAAGATTTCCAGGCCCCAATAAACGTTTGTTTCCAGTTGTTTTGGAAGAGTCTTTTGGTTAGCTATATTGTAAGTAGATCCACATCCAAAAAGAAAACATTTTTCTCTGTAAATGCTGAATCTTGTTTTTCTAATTACAAGTCAAACATAGTTATACTTTGATAGAAGTAGGTTAGAAAGGGCAGCTAATTCTGGATAGACTTCAGTAAATGGGAACAGAGCTGCAAGTTTCCATTGAAAATTCAAGCTCCGTGTTCAGAAATCAGCCTCCATCACTGTATACAGATGCTTCTGTCTGTCATGATTAACTAATGGCTTTGGGATAAATCAGTGTTTTTCTCCCAGATAGATGGATACAAGGAACAGAAATGGAAGGGCTGGTTGGGGATTGGACAGTAGGGAATTCTTCCAGAGTGGAAGCGAGGTTTAAATTGCAGAGTTCTGAGCTGCCCTGCCTGCAAAGATCTTATCAAAGAAGAAGACAGCCCCTCACAAATTGGGGCCTTGTGTTTGAGGCGATCCTGGTTCGTTACAGAATGGCTGTAGAACCATTCCCCCTGCCTTTTGCAGCAGTAGAATGGGGCTTATGTAAATTGTCCCAATGAGGTTGTACAATGAAGTTGACACCCTTTCCAAAAAAAATTAAGACTCTCCAAAGGGAATATACTGGCATCATGGTCAGCCATGTGTTCCAGGCTCTGAAAGTCCACAGCTAATCTCCATTCACTGGGGAATGCCTTCCAAGAGGGTTCTGTGTTAAACCCTTCAGGCCACGCGATGATAATTTGTGTTTAACTGTAGGTATAAAATACAGGACTCCATTTGGCATCCGTGGTAGCCCAGTGATTCATATAGAAGCTCCTGGATTCACTTATTGGCTTTTCTGGGAATACAGCTAAGATAAATCTCTTTATAATGTGCCGTGAGCCGCGCCAGCAGCAAAGCAGGGAACTAGGGCAGTGACGTCTGAGAAGAGGCAAGGACAGGTAGATATCACACTCCGCTCAAGTGACTTTGTTTACAATCTCGGATGTTTACTTGATCTGAGCCTGACCTAGTCTTATGTGCTAAGGAGTGACACGGTAACGTTCTATTGTGCGATTCGTAAAGACGTATTTGGTTCTCTTTTCGTTCAAGAGCATCAGCCTGTTATATCATGATTCCCCAGCACACATGCTGGTCAAGGCCAAAGAATGAACGGCTTTAATCATTAGTCAAAATTGAGCCACTGGTCTCTACTTCAGTATCCAGTAAGTGGGAAACAATGACCCACCAATTACAAAGTATCACTAGGAAGACAGCTGATCAAGTAGCTCGGCTGGTAGACTGCTTGTCTAGAATGCAGGTAGCTCTGGTTTTGATCCCTAGCCCCATATAAAACTGGGCGTGGTGATGCACGGCTGTAATCCCAACATTTGGGAGGTGAAAGGGGAGAAAAAGAAGGTCAGGTCATCGTTGTCTACATAAGTTGCGGAGGTCAGGTCATCTTTGGCTGCCCATTAAATGCAAGGCCAGCTTGGACTAGAAGAAAGCCTGTGTCTACATAAATAAATAAGAAGACAATGCTCTCTGTAGACTCACATTTTACCTGACCTGTGGAATCACGTTTAATGAAACATGCATGCCCATTCATTCTTTAATAAACTTGGATTATCTTCTTTAAGTCTATGCCAGGCTTTACTATACATTGATACTATACATTTCTTCTTCGAAGAAACTCATTGTTGGGCTGGAGAGATGGCTCAGTGGTTAAGAGTGCTGGCTGCTCTTCCAAAGGTCCTGAGTTCAATTCCCAGCAACCACATGGTGGCTCACAACCATCTGTAATGAGGTCTGTCACTCTCTTCTGGCGTGCAGACATACATGAAGGCAGAATGTTGTATACATAATAAATAAATAAATCTTTTTTAAAAAAAAAAAAAAGAAAAAAGAAAGAAACTCATTGTCAGCCCTTATGGCTTTTGTCACGGAGAGATTCACCTTAAACATGTTTCCCTAGGAATCAACAATTCCAAACTATAAAAAAAGTCAAAACATACAAATGGTCATACAGATAACAAATGAACCCGAGTGAGGTAGAGGGAGGCTAAAGATGTGATAGGTAGGTTGACACTTAACAAACTTTAGTCTAATCTATAAAATAATGAAAACTAACTAACTTTTTTTTCCAGTCATGGGGACTAAGCTCAGGGCCTTGTATATGATAGGCAAGTGCTCTACCACTGAGCTATGTAATGAAATACGGTTGTCCTATGTGGCCCGTGCTGACCTTAAACTTACTCAGACCACCCTCAAACTCACATCAGACTGCCTTAGCCACCTAATTGCAGAGGTTCTAGGTATGTGCCATCATGCCCATTAAATGGGGATTATTATTAAATATGGAATGTCAGTCATCAATGAACACTACACGTTTTGTGTTTCTAATACAGTAAACTTTCTAGGAGAAAAGCAAATCGAAGAGAGAATTTACTGTTTTGTTCAAAACTTTACTCAGCCTTGCTCAACATGTCAGAAAACTGCATCCCCAATACGGTCACATTCATTTTCCTCTTCCATACTGATATGATATACCCCCTAAACGTGTAGCTGTCAGATCTGCATAGACAGGAACCTATTTCAGCCCATACTGTGTAATACTGAGTATCTATTCCAATGTCCACAGCCCGTAATGGAAACCCACAGCTTGCGCTTGTGATTTACTCCTCGGCTTCACAGATTTACAGATCACCTCTCTACCATGTGCTTCACGGCAAGGTCTTCAGCTTACACTGCATGTAGCCAGTCTTTTGCTCAAGTCATGGAGGATGCAAGCTCACCTCCTCCCCCCCCCCCCCCCCGCAGCACAGTCTTTCTATGTCTTTTTTGTTTGATAAAGCCCTGCTTGTTCTGGTGTCTTCCCTAAAACCTGGGGGTGTTCTGTTCATGTATTTGGTCTTAAGGAGCGTCTGCACTCAGGCCTAGAGGTGCTGCTGAGGGATATTCTTGTAATACCCTTGCTCTTGTTTTGAGAAGAGCACCAGGTATGCCAGGCTCTTGCTGCAGATCCAGCTGTCCTGCTTGCCAGTGTGCGGAGACTTCTCAGAGGTGCAAGCACCATTAAGGCTTACCAGATTTCTTAGAACATGTGCTCCCCTCTCAACCACTCCCCAGAATGATGCATGACTTCTGTGGTTACAAGGACTTCTGATGCACAAACGTCTTTATTTTTAATATATTGACGGTTAGTGGAAACATCCTTGCTCTCTGATCCTTCTGGGAATGCACAGACACAAGAACAAAAAGTCATAAAAAACACTAAAAAGTCATAAAAAGCTATGCAAGCCCATTAATAAATTGAATCCCATATCTTACTCATTAGCAAACTTTGAACCTCAGGTTCTCAACTACAAAATAGGAATAACAATAATCCTTGCACGGATTATTGTTTGCACCGTTTGTGCTGAAGCTAACATTCATGGACTGCCTAGACTACGCTTTCAACACATGGACACAATTATTATAATTATCACTAGCCTTTAAAATCACCACGTGTATTTATATATTTATACCTCATTTGCCCCTACAATACTTTAGAGCACCAAATTCATTAATATTAATAAAGTAAGAAGTGACTTGTTTTACAGGATTGATCCCGATTGTTTGTAATTAGCTTTACTCAGCCATATATCTACCCACTGAGAGTTGGCGCCAAGTCTACCATTTGTACACATTAGGATTCTCAACACATCCAAGACATAGCAGCACCCTGGAAATGTTTGCTGAATCAATGAACCTAACCTTAACATTTCTATTCCCTTACAGAGGCCCCAAGAAGAGAAATATCCTGTTGGGCCATGGCTGTTGGCACTGTTTGTTTTTGTTGTCTGTGGCTCAGGTATGGTATTTCACTGAATTATAGCCCACTGTCCTGGAAAAACCATGCTTTATCCATAACCTACATACACAAAGAAGTATTGATTCGGGGTCCAAGTCCATCGCTGCCTTAAACCCTAATCTTAATGGGTCTTCATGTAGTTTTCTGTTGCAAGTATGATGAGACAGAGTTGATACACTATCAAATTATCGTCATAAAATGATTACAAGAAATTAAATGTGTTTTGTATATGCTGTGAAGTTCAGTCAAGTTATACTATACATACACAGCATAGATAGAGCATTTGGAGCTGAAGGTGAAATAACCTGACTGATCAAGATAAACTCATATTCCAAAGATAGGGAGAAACCTTACGCCATAGAGCATTCTACAGAAAGGCCAAACAGAACAGACCTTTGACCTAAGCCACAGATACGGGTCACTTGCTTCTTTGGGGTGTCAGTTCAGAGAGCTGTGCTTAAATCCTTGCAGATACTATACACATATGCATGAGGGACACGAGCAAAGAAAACAGCATGCAATTCTCTTCAGTGCTGTTAGTGGGGCTTTGTCTGTGCTCCTGGTTCCCATGGACTAAGTTTCTGCAATACTGATCAGCAGATATCACTTCTAAATTCAGGGCATAGCTTGCTTCAGGGGTCCCCATCCTCCTCTGTCTTCTCAGTGTTTCTGCAGACAGAGAGTGTTCGAAACCTATGCTGCAGGCAATTGGCCTCTTTGGAAAGACAATGTGGTTTAGTTTTTGAGACTAAACCATATAAAGCTCTATGATTTTAAAAACTTTTCTTGTTGGTTGTCAGTTGTCTTTCCAAAGTGGCCAAGTTGACAAGTGTACAGAATAAGAGGTCTTCTGACTTTATGATCTCCTATGCAATATGATCAATGCCATTACCTGGTGTGCTCCACGTATGGCTCCTCGTCAGCACTGTGTGCATGGAGACAGTGTGCACAATTGCATGAGGTACGGTCTACTAATGCAGAATTTCCCACTGTGTGTGTATATTCACCTGAATTTCACAGCCTCTAATGTTCTGCCTCTGATTTTTCACCTTTAGCAGGTGCCAGCCTACACTGAAAAGTTATCTGTGTTCTTACGCTTTATGACTGTATATGGACAGATGGGCTTGAACCTTGAGCTTTTAATATAATAATGCTCTCCCAGCTTTATGATCTCTGAACGTACTTTATAGTTCCAAGTCACCGATGAAAGGTCTAGACTCGGAGAAAACAGTCAGGCAGCGTGAAGCAGACTCCTTCACCTTGACTTTGAACCTCTGTACCTTTCAGTCTGGCTCTGTGTTGGGTTAGGAGCTTAGGACAGAGCTTGTGGGTGCTGGGGAAGGTGCGGGGTAAGGGGTGGTGCAGTCTGGAGATAGCACACCACAATGACCATATTAGCTCAGCGATGTGGATAAGGGCCTTGCCCATCACATATGCTGGGGCGGGAGGGACCTCCCTGTGGTTGAGCTGAGTTTGAAACGGAGCATTCAAACAGATGGGGCAAGGAAGGTGGCCACACAGGAGGGAACAGGATACACCATAAGCACAGAGGCGCCCCACAAGCCCAGTCACAGTACAGTGCTGCCCAGTATTCCTGTTGCCCAGATCCTAAGTAATCGCGAGCTAATGCATGTTTATTTCCTAACATCAAGGTTTGTGAAAGGACATTTTAGCCCTGCAGTGTGTCTGTCTGGGTGCAGGTCAGTAGAGCATTCTAGTTTGGCTTCTTTTTCTCAAATCCATGCCCCTTACATAAATATCACATTTCTATGACACTCCTAGAGTTTAGGCATTTCTTAGGGACCAGAAATATACCTTTTCTATGAGCAATAAGGACGTCCTAGAACTTTGAACCAAATGGCTCAGAGAATAAACCACTTACTGTACCCCACCTCTTTTGTCCTTTTTGGGGTGTGACAGATAAGATTTGGGGGTGTGACAGAGATTTTCCCATGACAGATAAGACCTCCTTCCTGTCAGAGATTTTCCCATTGTGCCACATACCCTGCCCTTCCACTTTTTATGGAAATCTGTTCTGTAGATCAGACTGGCCTCGAACTCACAGAGATCCACGTGCCTCTGCCTCCCGAGTGCTGAGTTTAAAGGCCTGCGCCACCACCGCCCGGCTCCTTCCACCGTTCTTATGGCACCTCGTTCAGTCTCTCTAGTTAGACCGTTTTGCTTCTCCGGGCAGGTGAGCTCTGGAAGCTGAGTCGCCTTGCTTTTCCTGCCCCCTCTTCATGTGCTGCCATCGCCCCCGAGCATCAGAGCGTCGGACTCATCTGTTTTCAAGCCGCAACTAAAAATAGTGCGCGCGTCGCCCACCCCCTCCCCACTTCTCCTTTTAACAGCTGTAGCATTGGTTTTACACACCTCGGCTTAAGTCGGCCACTGTGCTCACAGAGTTGTGCCGCTCCTCCCAGTCCGTCCTTGGTGACTACTCTTCCATCTTCGCTCACGTCCCTTTCTAAACAGAACGCATCACGAAAAACACAATCGCGCCAGCTCGCCAGGATGAGGCCGTTCATCTTGCAGAACCTTTCCCGCTCTTGGCTCTCTCCCCTTTTAGGGTCATGAGCTACAGCTCCCAGCCCTCTTTTCTCTCTATTTGAAAAGATGTGATTTTGTCAACTCTCCCCCATGGGTTGCTCCTCTCCTTTAGAGAGACGAGCCTTCCTATGGCACTAGCGCTGGAAACCCTCATCTCTGGAGAGTCTGACCAGTGTTCCCATTCTAAAATCCAGTACGGAGGAGATGTTCCCCTTCCCGTCTCTCTGCAGCATGGACCAAAGCATCCCCTGCTGCTCTTGCCTGCCATGCACATGCACTGGAGCTCTGGGAAGGAGCCCCACACCTCTGCACCCTCTCTCCCTCCTCCGTCTCTTCTTTGAACATGATATACCCCCTAGTGTAGGCAAAAGCGTTGTCCCACCAAGTTCCCTTGTTAGCGTACAGGTCTTCTTGCCATCTGTGAGCTTATGTATTGAGTTTCCTTTATTTTGTGGATTTTCATACAGACACCGGGGACAAGGCAACATCTCGTATGACTAAAGATATTGATCATCCGTCCTAATCTCTTGAAAGTCCCGTGGCTTTCATTCCCTTATTTTGTTAGCCTACTTTCCTAGATGGCGATTGGTTGAGCAAAGTACCCGTTTTAGACATAGAGTCAGCGTACTGATGGTAAGTAAATATTCAGGTCAGGCGGGTAGTAAGACACACACATTTTCTTTCTTCCTTTTTTTCTCTCGCTGTAGTCTCAGAGAGAATTAGGGCTGTGTGGGAGCTAGCATTTGGACATGCGCGTGTGTACTAGTCACTCTTGCTCCATTATGGGGGAAAGCTGGTGAACAAATCTCTGAAAGTCCCATGCTGCTTCCCAGTGTTCCCTCCTCTGGCCGTCCTCGTTCGGTGCATTCGCCCTTTCTGGAGTCTTTATCCAAAAGCTTCAGCACAGACCCACATCGGGGAAATGCCACCCCCACACTGAGAAGTCAGGTGGAGCAGCAGGCCCCCCTGCTCTTGCTTCTGGCCGAGGTAGTCGGCTGTACCCTCTAACAATTACCCCGAAGAAAGGCAAGTATGGAGGTTGCCTACGTGCACCTGCAGAATAAATAAATCTCTGCTTTCTGAGACTGCAAAAGGTGCCTTGAGCAAGGGACTTCTCAGCAGCCAATAAGAGGCCTCAGAGAAGAGGGTAGATCTGCCAAGATATGATGGTTCAAAGCTTCAAAGTAGGCAGGTGAAGTACACTGGACAAGTTAGTACTGTCTCCATGTTGCTCCTCCTCTTCTTCCTCCTTCTCCTCTTTATTATGTGTACAGTGTTCTGTCTGCAAGTCAGAAAAGGGCATCAGATCGCATTATAGATTGTGAGTCACCATGTGGTTGCTGGGAATTGAACTCAGGACCTCCAGAAAAACTGTGAGTGCTCTGAGCCATCTCTGCAGCCCCGTGCGACTTTTCTTGTTGAGAAAATGGAGATAAGAGCCGGGTGTGATGATACAGGTCTGCTATTCCAGCACTTTACTCAAGAGGCTGAGGCAGGATGATCATGTGTTTGAGGTTCATCTGGAGTATGGAGCAAAATTCTGACTCAGAGTGGGGGTTGGGAGAGGCAGTCTACCACAGGTGTTGAATGGCTCTGGGGATGTGGCCCATCACAAGCCCAAACCTACCATTATCCATCACAAATACCCACACCTTGTAGAAAATGTCAGTCCAGCTATGGGATGCTCAGACTCACCCTTCTCCCAGGCTGGGTATCTAATTGGCGGACCCAACCATAACGTTCCATTCTTGATCTATCAGAAAACCATCAGCCAGCGTGCCTGCCTGGCTCTTGCCTCAGAGGGTGAATGAGAGCCGTTCTCAAGGCTAACCCTGTTTCCTCATGTGATAACACATGAACCACCACTCCCACTCACGAGGAAGGAAGTACCACCATATGGACCAGCCTCCGAGAATAGTGGTTTATGCTTCAAATTGAGCATAAAAAACATAGTGTGTTTCATTTCCTTAAAGCAATGCTAACACACTCCCCATTTTGTATCGTTTTCCTTGTGAAATTCAAAACACTAGGAATCATGTATTCTTTTGTGACTACTGATGCCCAGCAGGGCCGTCTCTGGACCATTTCTTGTTAAACTTAATGCTGCAGTGAGCTTTATTTTTTATTAATATTATATAGATTATGTCTGAAATGGAAAACTTATTTCTCAGTCGAATACCTGCTCTTAGTCTGGAGTTCGGAAGTTCTTGAACCTGCTGAACTGGCTGGATTTGTTTCTCTCTACTTGATCTCTTCAGATCCAGCCCCCTATTGAAGCCTAAGGCATTCAAGTGCCCTGCAGGAGCTTGTGCCCCCTCCCTTGTCCTGCTTTTTATCTTCTGTTTTTTCAGGCAATGAGGCCTCTCTGCAGATAAGCATCTCCTGGAACACTCAGTCTTGGCTTTTCCAATCACCTCCACTGGAGAAAGGCTCACAGCGTCCTCAGAGGA